CTTACGGCTTACGACTGTATTGTAGACGACGCTTAACGTAAAAATCTGTCTCACGCAATTTAGATTACGTCGCTTACATATATCAGTTACTAATCTGATACATATTGTTTCACAGATAATGTATGTATAAATAATAATATAATTATGTATCTTTTACATGCTATTTTTATAAGATATGAGATGTATTAGGCAGAAGCGAATTTACATAGCATATACATAAATAAGTTATATATCACTGATATTTATTTGATACTTTCTTGTTATGTAACAAGAAATAGCAGTTACATGTGCGTTTGCTGGGTTGTCTCAAATATTCGATACTACTGACTCTAATAACGGTTAGTGTGGTCGAAAGCACATTCTTCTACTTGGAGATTTGCTTTAATTACATCCTGTACACGATAATCCAGCTTTTATACGCTTATCAAAAGAAACAGTAAATAAATATTTTGGGTCTACCCAGACCCTAGAAGCTACCCAGCAAACACAGAATATAACTGCTATATAACATAGAAGTAACAGCGTGATATACGTAATATAACAGCTGTTATACTCTATTAATATCAATTTTATGTAACTTTGTTTTATAAATGTAATATAATTATGTTATATATCTATTATATTGCTTAAATTCTGCGTAATGTTAAAGTATGCTCGAAGAATATACACGAGTTAATGAAATATATATACTTACCTTTTATATATCACATTATTCGCACATTACAACACTTTCAANTTTTAATTTTCCATACGCATTTTCTCACAAATGTCAGCAATTAAGTAACAACGCCAGATATAATAATTTCCAAACAGTTACATAAAATTTTATAACAGTTATGTAATTGTTTTATTACTATTACATTGTAATTATATATTGATAAATAGTGTTACGTAAAAGCAATGTANAATTCACATAACATTTGTTATGTGATCTGTTACATATCTATTATATTGCTGTTATAATGTCATTACCAGCTAATAACAAGCAATATAATAGATATATAACATAATTATATTACATCTATAAAACAAAGTTACATAAAATCGATGTTAATAGAGTATAACAGCTGTTATATTACGTATACCACGCTGTTACTTCTATGTTATATAGCAGTTATATTCTGTGTTTGCTGGGGTCGGTTTACAGGTGTCTATAGTCGGTGTCCAGTACCCTCTTAAGTCTCTTTTTTTTAACAAAACTTAATGAGAGTTTTATGAGGAAACAAATCTACCTGAAATTAGATACTTTGTTGTACCATTTGTTCCGCCACCTAAAAATAATAATTTTAATCCACTCAAAACTATTCACCGAACACCAGAGTTTCTTACAATAATTTAAATCAACTCAATCGGTTTATCAAGTCTCATAAAGACCCCATAGACACATTACTACATAAAAACGTAGTTTACAAAGTACAATGTAATTCTTGCGAAAATACTTATGTTGTCCAAACAAAAAGGCAATTGAGTACTTGAGTCAAGGAACACGAAAACTATGTAAAAATCTTAATAAAAACTCAGTCATAGCTGAACATAAATTACTCTCAGGACATGACTTTAATTGGGACAACATAAGAATATTGGACATCGAACATAATTATAGTAAAAGACTTACATCAGAAATGTTACACATTAAATTACAACAACATAGTCTGAATAAGATGCAACATACTAAAAATTTAGACAATTTATACCTCCCGCTTTTGAATATAATTGACACACGTCTGATGTAAACTTGCCTAGGGTTTAAAAAGCCGGAAAAATTTCCGGAAAAATTGGAAAAATTACCGGAAAAATTGGAAATTTTTCCGACCGTATTTTTTCTGGAACAATTAGGAAAAATATTTTTTGTTGCATTTTTTTCTCCTAAATTGTGTTTCACAAGTCAGCCATTAGATATTTGAAGACAATGCGAATGCCGCAAACACGGTCTTCTTACGACCAACGAGACAGAAGTGCAAGGGTTTAACGTAAGCGTGCACTTAAGCCCTTTGTTCACTCAAACGGAGTGCGATAGCAAACCGATTGCGCCAAAATGATGCTAGGGGAGTACAAACCATGCGCTCCATATCCAGATCCGTATCGAAAGCCGCGCATCTCCTTCTTACCGACTAGTTCTTTTAAGCTTTGGATAATTAGAAGGGTTAAGTTAAGCAAGACATAATATACATAACAGGTTTAGTTCTCTTTTTATTTGCAGTAATAC